AGATTCCAGGTACCATGTCCTTTCTCCAGTGGCTCACACCAAACAAACCCAGCCATAGCAATTACTACTAACTTTGTTTTCTGAAAGACAAATAAAAGAAAGTTTACCAAGGATTTGTTCAAATCCCTGCAAAATCAAGGTCACAAGTTTATTGGCCTCTTGGGGAGGCAATGCATTAGTCTGTGAGTCAGTCTTTCTCTCCTTACTAACCTGGTCTGTCCCACATTGCATTGGATACCACTGTGATTGTGGGAGAGCATGTGTCAGAGCAGGGCATGGCATACTAGGCTGTGCAGAGAAGTTTCTGATTGGTGTTAAAGTTGAAAGTTGCCGTCTCGGGGCTGATACGTGAGCACCGTGACATGCCACCCTAGTGGCAACATCATATTTCCAATGAGGTGCTGTGAAATGCATGTCCTGGATTCCTGTTTGATGTGTGTAGCCTTTGTATACCTGTGATGGCTAATTTTATTTGTCAGCTTGACTAAGCTGGGGGAGTATCTGAAGAGGAAGACTGCCCGTGAGTGCACACAGGACCATCCCATGGACTGGGGGTCTGGACTGAATAAAAGGGAGCAAAGGAGATTGGAGCACAAGCCACCCCACTTCTTCACACCATCCCCACCCTGCTTCCTGGCCCACTGTGGTATGGACTGTTTTGCACCCTTGAACCGTAACAAATCCTCCCTCTCTCAAACTGTTCCTGTTACAACCAGAAAAGCAATCGATACAATGGCCCACACTACTTCATCTGACATCATAATAGCCCTGTGAGACAGCTGGCATGGACTTGTCATCCATTTTATAGACTGAAGGGTGGAGGCCCATGGAAATGATTGACTTATCTAGAATCACTTCTGCAGCTACAGTGTCATCTTCTGCCCCATTTCCAACATCTGTTCACTAAACCAAGATTCTGCCAGTTCCAGAGCAGTAGTTCTTTGCCCTTGTGGAACAGAGATTTCAGGAGGTGACCAGGCAGGGACCATGGTACCTCTGACAAGACTCTCATACCACATGTGTCGCCTCCTGCCTCTCCCACGCTGGAGCCAGGAAAACATCCCCATTTAACAACAAGCTCCCCACAAACAGCACGTCTCTCAGATTGCGCTGCCCTCTAATTTAGAGGGAGTTTCCGGGCCTGGCTTTCTGTCTTTTTTGGTTTGACTGCCACCAATATTTTGTGTCAGAGACAAACTGGAACCCTGTTCCCATTCAAGATGTAGCATAACTTTTCTTGAAAGTTAATCATAAGGTGGGTTTTCATAGTCGAAAAGTCTTCCCAGGCTTGGCGCCATGGGAGAAACATAATTTGGAGAGAAAAGTGTGGCTGGCACTGTGTGCTTGGAATCTTGTTGAACTATGAATTAGAACTAAATTTAGTGGGATGCAGCCTTACTGTTTTGGAGGAAAATGCTGGTGACAAGACAGATCCTTTTCAGCTTTCTAAAACCCCTGGGCATATAGCATGTGTTCATAGAAATGGTGTTACAGAAACTTTAATCATGCATGAAAGAGGGGAAGAATTAAGTCCAAGTAAAAGGAAGAGAAAGTGGAAACATTTAATTCTTCTATGTGAGAGGTGTCTAGGGATACTGTCTGAGTTCAGAGACAAAATGGAAACACCGTCAAAGGATATCAGTAGAAAGAGAAGAAAACTGTGAACTTAATGTAAGTCCAGGATTAAAGGGTGTCTTAGTTAGGGTTTTACTGCTGTGAACAGACACAGTGACCAAGGCAGCTCTTATAAGGACATTTAATTGGGACTAGCTTACAGGTTAAGAGGTTTAGTCCAGTATCATCAAGGTGGGAGCATGGCAGCATCCAGGCCAGCATGGTGCAGGAGGAGCTCAGAGGTCTACATCTTCATCTGAAGGCTGCTAGAAAGACTAGCTTCCAGGCATCTAGGATGAGTGTCTTAAAGCCCATGCCCACAGTGGCACATGTCCTCCAGCAAGGCCATACCTCTTAATAGTGCCACTCCCTGTGCCCAGCATATTCAAACCACCACATAGCGGGATTGGAAAAAAAATGCAATAAATGTATCAGCTTAGTGGAAGAGATCTATGCAAACCTATGTGAAAAGTCTAAGGCTTTAAGTAAATTATTAGTACGAGGAATCAGGCAGACAGACACAGGCCATGGCCATCCTCTGTGCCAATCAAAGATGCACAGCCAAAGAGGGTCCTATGTTTCTTCTCTAACTGATAAACTTAGTGGTAAGACAATGACATGGATCAGTTCTTCACTGACAGGACAGCCATAAACCATCACTAGCTTGTTGGCAATTGCTTTGACAACAGGCATGAAGATGGCCTTGAAGATGTTTCTCTCTAACGTGGACATTCCAGGTTTCAGATTCAAATTTAAAACTGACAACCTAAGAAATGGGAAATTATTCAGAACAAATATGTTAGAGAATGAATCAGTTGTTCATATGCTAGAGAATAGCTGTGTAAACTATAGCTTATCTCCTTGTTGAAAAATATACAAATATAGGCTAAATAAAGGTGTCAGATTGAAATTTAATGCAATTCCTTAAAGATATATAAAATATAGTGTTAAATCTTGTATTCATATAAAAACCTGTTCATAGCAGCTTTATGCCTAATGGTTTGAATAGGGATGCCCCCATAGACTCATGTGTTTAACTGCTTGGCCCATAGGGGGTGGTACTACTAGGAGGTGTGGCCTTGTTGGAGTAGGCATGGCCTTGATGGAGGAAGTGTGTCACTGGAGGTGGGCTTTGAGGTCATATATATGCTCAAATTCCACCCAACGGAGTCCAGTCTCCTCCAGGCTTCTTTCTGGTCAAGATGTAGAACTCTTGGCTTTTCCAGCACCATGTCTTCCTGCATGCTGCCATGCTTCCTGCCATGATTGTAATGAAACTGTAAGCCAGCCCCAATTAAATGTTTGCCTTTATAAAAGTTGGCTTGGTCATAGTGTCCCTTCACAGCAATGAAACCCTAACCAAGACATTCCCCAAACTCGGACACAGGAATTATTTTGATAAATAGATGAGTAAACTATGAGACAGCCAGACAATGGAATATTATTTGGAAATAAACATATATGAGCCACCAAACCAGAAAAAGACACGGAGAAAGAAGCTTTAAGTGACTGTTATTAAGTGAAAAAAAGCCAGTATGAATAAGCTTCATATGATATGCTTCCAACCCTACAATGTCCTGGAACCAGCAGACTATGGAACCAGTCAAATCAAGGTTTCCGGGACCTGAAGGATATGAACAGGCAAAGCCCAGAGGACCCTTAGGACTGTGAGGCCACTTGATATAATATGATATGCTGCAAACACATAAATGCCCAAACCCATAGAACCTTACTTAACATTACCTTTAGCCTGTGGATGTTCCTGGTGAGTCTGCTCCCCAGTTGTTAACTGGTAAGCTGTTTTGTTGGGAGGAGAAAGCTGGGCATGAGAGTGCTGGGAAAAACCTCCATCCCTTCTCAGTTCTTCTGTGAACCTAAAGCTGTCCTAAAAATAGTCGGGGGTTTTTGTTAGTTTATTTGTTTTTAAGAAGGAAAAAAAGTTGTGGAAATATTTACAAAATTCATGTTTTGGCCACAACAGGCTTACTTCCTTTCATTTCCATGTCTATAACTACCACTTTTAATCCACAGACCTGACTGCTTTTATTTGAAAAGAAAAAGAAACAAACATGTCAAGAGTTTAAAAGGCTACGGATGCAAGCTGCTGTGTGTTTGTCTATTTAAGCAAAGCCTTGTTTGCTCTTGGTGGTCAGAGTTTTGTAAACCCACATTCCTTTTTAGCTATTTGGGCATTTACACAGTGGTTCCTGCACTCTACAACTATGACCACTTATCCATGTTGTTCCCAAAGAAAATAAGCTGTTCCTGGGGAATCCCAGTGGGAACACTTGGACTTTTTCCCACACTGAGTCTTCATTTACTTGTTTTTTAAATATTTAGGACTGTTGTTGCAATTGCCTGTGACTATGTGTATACATCTACTTGTGCATAATTGTAAATGCATCCAGCAGTGATTCTCTGTCTTGTCTCCCATCTGTGTCAGTGTCCCAGCCTCTCTATCCTCAAGACCCTTGACTATTCTAAAGTTTCTCTACACATAGGAAAGCTCATTCTAGCTTATAGCTTATCTCCCCTGTTTTGATATGAAGTGCAGGGTATTTCACATTCCTTTTTTTTTCTTAGCAATGTATCTGAGACATAGAATCACAACGTATCTTACTTCCTCAGTACATGGGATACTGCTTTATTTCTATTTCTAACCACAGCAGACCTAGTGTAAGAATAACTGTACTTTACTTAACCAGTCACTGGTGACAGTTGACCTGTTTCAACATCTGCTCAGATTTTGCACAGTCCTATAATGCCTGAGTCTTCCGTATGCATCATTTCATGCATACATAGGGATGTTCATGCAAGGAATTTTCAGAAACCAGACTATATGTGAAAGAGACCAAGGCTCTGTCATTTTGGGGTAAATGTTGCCAAGTTGTTTTTCCTCGGGGAAGGTTGTACTCAGAGAAGATCTGCATGCTTGGCAAGAGTGCTTACTCAACTTTGACTGCTGTCATTTTGGAATGAGGGAAAGGGAAGTGCCCTCTCTTTGTACCTTTTCATGACGTAGTTTAGCATGTTTGCATACGTGGTGCTCTCCTTTGTGACGCTAATTACCGCTCTACTGACTGTTTATTTTGATAGTTGGGAAATTGATCATGGTCTTTCACACCTCAGAGATTTTTCATGGTCTGTGGAGATAGAGTCTTTTGGGAATCACATTTCACATGCTGCACCCTTTGCGGGGGAACAAAAGATTCTACAGGGAGCTTCTATGTGAGATGTTGGAACCAATAGGAAAGCATTGAAACAAGACTGAATGGATGCCTGCATCAGGAGTCTTTAAAAGCTCTTGAGAGCCACTGGTTCCTTTCCTGTTCTAGTTTTCAGCAGTGAATAAACTTTGGCTTCATCTGGGTCTTTTTCTTTTACAGCTCAGGGGAGACTGTCACCAGTGTGACCAGCTTGGCCCCGCTGCAGCCACAAAAGGGTAAGAGGCAGAAGAAAAAGGTAGATGTTCCACCTGCAGTCCCTGCCAAAGGTAAGGACTTGACCTTCAATTTCCTAAGTGAAGCCACCTTGATTGGTGCAGGGCTAGACCTGGGATCAAATGCAGGATCGGGGCAGAGGAATAGATGGATGGCTTGTCACTCAGTACTACTGTGGTGCAAACAGTCCCACTAGATTATAGACATAGCGAACTGAAATGGTATGGGACATAGCTAGGTTTGGGCATTGGCATTGAGGTAAGTAAGTCAACATGCATAGAAAAGTCTATATTGGATTTAGTGGACTTTAATGGTGAAGTGAGGCAGGGGCTGGCAACACCTTCCTGGTTCTTAAAGGGAAAGAACACCTCTGACATTTTAAAGATGTATGCAGTATATTTCAGACTTATTCTACTGATAAATACACATTCTATGACTGGTTATTCTGTGATTGGTGTTTTTATTTAGAGTAATGGGAGTGAGCAAGAAAGGTATTTCTTAAAGAAAAAACAGGCATAGATCTTAGCAGGACCAAGATCATCTACAGATAGACACTACTTAGATAGACTGGCCTATTCAGATGTCCAACCCTCAACAAATTTGAAATAAAAAGATATAAGAGAAAAATGTTAACATGACAAGATGCATTTGTATCCCTTAACTGGATTCTGCTAGTATCCCACTGAACCCTGTGGTAGAAGTCAGAAGAGGCATAGCTGGAAGTCAGGAAGGGAGGCTGGGAAGTGTGAGACCTTGGGAGGGAGGGAGCAGCGAGCCAGCACTCATGCCTCTATATAGTGTGGGTCATTGCAGGGTAGATACTGTCTCAGCTACAAAAGATACAAGTTTCACTTGGGGACTATGAAACTTGGCTTTCAACTCCAAGTTCAGGTCATGACACTGGAGGGAGAGCTCAGTTTGCTTCTGTTGAGCTAGGACAATAGTCTTTCCTTGATAAGCTAGGTGAGGGTCAGGTCAGCTACTGACCTTGGGGTCAAGGGGAGTTCGGAGTCTTCAGGGAAAAGTCCTGTCTCAGCCTTGACCAAGGGTTCCTGGTTATTTCCCATACACTTGACTTCTGTGCAGGTGGCAGCAACTAATACAGCTCTGTTGTGACCTGGGAGGCAGTGTCATGTCTAAAGAAGAGGGGATGATTATCCTTCAGTTATTGGTACCCAAGGATACCTACTCCAGAGGCTTGAGCTCGTCCTTGGGACTAGGAAGACTCTGGTAGTCTTCATGGGATGTCTGTAATGCCCACAGAAGGTGGGCATTAAGAAGTCTTGGAAGAATTTCAAGCTAAAACTTGGTTGTCCTTCCACAGCACCGATAGCCACCACTTTCCACAAACCAAAGCTGCTGAAACCACAGAGGAAAGTCGCTCTGGTGAGTAACTGTTCCCAGTTGTTACAGTGTCTCTAGCACAAGAAACAGCGCAAGGGTCAAACAGTACCTCTACTGACCTAAGTATGTTAAAAAGGTGTCTGTTCCCAAAGGCATCCCCTCTTCTCAGATCAGATTTTGAGTCAGGTTTTCTCCACCTTCACCTCTCAGAGTGACATGTCAAGAGAATCCAAATGAAAGTATCTCTCACCATGTTACCTTTCAAAAATGAGAGCAGACAGGTCATCATCAGACGGGTATAAGATAGAAAGTGGACCTTCTTGCATTAATCTATCTGATAATACCCTCTGAAGAGGATGCTGAGGAGCTTTCGAGAAAAATATGTCAAATCTTTTTATTTTGAAATAACTTTAGATTTACAGAAGTCATTTTGAAGAATCAGAGTTTCGATATGTCTGTCTCCACTACTGTTAACATTTTATGTAGCTGGTAGCTAGGGTGCTTGCTCAAGGTGTTGACGGCAGCATGCTATCCACACAGCCCTTCTGGTGGTAGTCCATTTTGGGTACATTCCATCACCCCATAGTAGATCCTGAAACCATAGGTTGTATCAAACCGTACAAATGTGTGCTCCATTTTCTTCACACATAACCCTGGTAATGTTATAGCCAATTCTGACATGGAGCAATTATAAAATGCTGTAATAAGATTTATTTGAAACAGTTATTCAAAAAGTTAGGAATTATTTAATTCTGGAATTTTCCTTTGGATGCAGGTTGACTGCCTATACCTGAAGCTGATTGGTGGAGGGGGAGGGAAGGTGAAGGTCATGCTTGCCTAGTTCTTCACTGTTTTTTCTGTCTGCCTGTCTCATATATGTCAGACACCAGCCTCAATGTCTAGTTCACATTCAAAGCAGGCAAAAGAAGTTAGGCACAACCTTCCTAAAGGAAAGGCATCAAGAATGTGTGGAGCTATTTGCCACCGCAGAGATTAATACTTATTGAAAAGACTTGGGTCAAGGCTTCTGCTCACTTAACTCACAATCATGACCTTTGCGAAAGGAAGCGTGTGCTATGGCGTGTCAATGGCCTTGCATTTCCCTCGGCCTTTCCATCTTTGTTGCTTAGAGTTCTGTAAGAAGGAGCCACCTCTTTCCTCTCCTTGATATTCACTAATCCCTTTGATATCAGTATGTGCACAGACATTTATGTAGTTTTTAGTGGTTAATCATCTGTGATTTGTTTTGTTGCTAACTTTGTTCAGCAGATGTATGTGTGTTGTGCGTGTGAAAGAAAAAAGCTTGTCAGAGCTGTTTCAATGTCCGTCACAGCAGACAGAAGTTTATTGGAGTTCTCTGGATGTATCCCAATAATATGCATATAATACATGCATGCATATGTGTTCTACATATCATCATATTTAATTGTTACAGTAAGACTTGTCCCTCATCGGCCAGCTTTATCTGTAAGGACACATGTACAGTCTATTTACAGGGAGTGATGGGGTTCCCTGTCAGCTGGGAGACAGTCATCAGTCTTCAAATAACTTTCTTTAGTCTAAAGCCTGCTGGGCCCTTCTCTTTTATCTATTAGCATAAGCTGGTTGTGGAATGCACGGGTATAAAATGCTGTCTTGAGCAGTTTTTGGTTTTGTGACTTATCAGAAGACTGGATAGAACAGCACTTAAGATAACGACTGTAGTCCCAGTCACAAGGTCTCATTGCTGACTTCTGAATGGATAAGCTTCCCTAGATGGGGACTCAGCACAGGAAACTAAAAATAAAACGTATTTCAACAAGTATCCCAACTAAAGGCCTCTTTAGATATATTTTTATCTTATTTTAGGGTATGAGTGTTTTGCCTGTATATTTGTCTGTCCACCACATGCACACAGTGCCCAACAAGGCCAGAAGAGGGAGTCAGATGCCCCGAAACTGGAGTTATAGATGGTATGGGCTGCCATATGAGTTCTGGGAATTGTACCCAGGCCCTCTGGAAGAACAGCTAGTGCTCTTAACTGCTGAGCCATCTCTCCAGCCCCAAGGCTTCTTTATTGACATAAAAATTTTAGAGAAAAATATTCTATACGAATATGAGAAGATACAAAGTAAACTATGAAATAAAATGTTCATAAGTGGTCAGCATAGGAAGTTCTTCACAAAAAAGTAGATCAAGATGTTTATACATATCTCAAAATGATTGTTGGTTTGGTGAGACCGTTCTCCCTTTTGTATTGTATTTACCTTACTTTATGTATATGAGTGTCTTGCCTGTGCATGTGTGTATGTGTGTAGGGTGCCTGGAGATAAGTGGTCAGAAGAAACCATCAAATCCCCTGGAACTGGAGTGGCAGATGATTGTGAACTCCGTGTGATGCTGTGAACTGAACCCCAGTTCTCTGCAAGGGTGATGGGTACTCTTAACCTCTGAGCTGTCTCTCTAGCCCCAGTGAGAGATTTCTTAACAATAGTTCTTTAAGTACAAAATCTAGAATGTAAAGGATTTAAAAGCTTTATACCAAAGTCTTATGGAGTCAAGTTAATTTTGATACCAATTTCCACCAATAACAACTCACAGAAAAAAAGCTGACCTCAACCAGGACTCTGTGTAACCAATATTTTAGAGTTGAAATTGCCAAGCCTAGTATCTGCAAAACTGGATGAATATTAAGATTTATTGCCCCAGGATGTTAGCATTGACCTCAGCCTCAATTTGATCGATATTTATTTCTCAGATCAATAAGTCTTGATGGTAGCTAAAACTTAAGTCAATAGCTACTTGTTGATTCACACAGATCTTAATGGGTAATCTAGACAATAATTTGGAGTCACACACATGCACACATGCACATACACATGCACTCACGAATACATGGATATATATATATGTGTGTGTGTATATACACATATATATGCATGTATATATACACGCATATATATGTATAAATGTGTGTATGTATATCTCTGTGTGTGTTTAAGTATGTATGTGTGTGTGTGTGTGTGTATGTATGTATGTATGTGTCTTAGTCAGGGTTTTACTGTTGTGAACAGACACTATAACCAAGGCAAGTCTTATAAAGGACAACATTTAATTGGGGCTGGCTTACAGGTTCAGAAGTTCAGTCCATTATCATCAAGGTGGGAGCATGGCAGCATCCAGGCAGGCATGGTGAAGGAGGAGCTGAGAGTTCTACATTTTCATCTGAAGACTGCTAGCAGAATACTCCCTTCCAGGCAGCTAGGGCTAGGGTTTTAAAGCCCATACCCACAGTGACACACCTACTCCTATAAGGCCACACTTGCAAATAGTGCCACTCCCTAGGCCAAGTATATACAAACTATCACAGTATATATGTATATGCTCCTTCCAGTTAGGTGTTTACCTTTTCTGTTGATCAGTTTACCATACTCTGTAAAAGGGTGCATCCTGGCTGAGTCCTAGGCTACAGTACCTTACAAACCTTCTTCCTAACAACTCATCTAAACTCTCCTTTGAAAAAAAGGGTTAAGGCTGACCTAAGAACCTTCACTCACTTATTGATCACTTAGTGTATACCAGCCTCTCTTCTAGATGTCTTATGATTCCTGTCACTTGTCTAGACTGTAGTATCAACCAGATGACACTCATGAATCCTAGTGTTTGCCACACTCAGAGATCAGGAGGTTGGAATGCTTTTCAAATGTTTCTAAGACAACACGATGGTTTATGAGAAATACATATTTTAGTGATTAATAGTGCTGGGAAAGTTTTTGTTGCTTATTTTGGGAAATGATAAACAAGAAAAAAATCTACAGAGAGCCATCAAGGTATCAAAACTACTCCCTCTCCGTTATGTAAGCAATAACAAATGCGGTGATCTGTTTCCAAATTCTGCCAACCAGGCAGTGAGGTCCCTGACCACTGCTTCTTCCTGGCCATCTGACAATGCAGTCTGTCTCTTAATCTGTGTGTGTTCATAGTGAGTCTTTATTCTAATACAGGGAGTCTTTCATCTTCTGGAGAGTGAGAGAACACACTCAGAAAAGTAAGCGTATGGCCTGGAGACAGGGTTCAGAGGCAGAGCACTTACCTAGCAGGCCTAGGGCCCCATTCTCATCACCAGAATAATGCATCAAAACAAAACAAAAACCTCTAGGCTTGCAGAACACTCTGGAAAGGGATGCACCTATTTCTTTATTTGTTTTGTAACTCAACCTCAAAAAAAAAAAAAAAAAAAACCCTGAAACCTCTGGGAACTCTCCAGTTCCCTCATTTTGGTCAAGCACCCTCATGGCATTGCCTTGGAAATCTGTGAAAATAATTCCCATACACCCAGGAAAAATTGTAGCTACTTCTTTGTTTCAGGATAGTCAAAGAACTCTTGAAATGTATCTGACTTTTTTTTTTTTAATTAGTAGTTCAGTTTATTGATTTAGATAAATCAGGGGAAGAAAATACAGTGTCTGATTTGGAAGCAAATCAAGTTTAGAGGGAGCAAAGTATCAGGGAGGTGGTGAGGTTAGTAGCACCTCAAATTAATGAGAAACACAGTGAGAATCATTTTTAGGGTTAAATGGATCTGATGACCACTGTGCCCCATTCAGCATCCTATGCGCCTCTACATTCGCCCCTGAGACCTTCCTCTCTGTAATTAAGTCCCCCGGGCCAGGGTTGCAGAGGGGTCAGGCCACTCCTACTGTCCAAAGAAAAAATGAGTTCTTGTGAGCAAGAGTCTGAAGACAGAAAAACCGAGAACACTGTGGGCTTAATTACCACGAGTTTCCCAGTGTGTCTCATGGAGTCTGTCTTATTCCCTCCGATCCATCCACTACATTGTTGCCTAGGGGCTTTCCTAAAACTGCTCCAACCCTGTCATTTCCCTGACTAGAATATTCCAATGGCTCCCTCTTGCCTCTGGTATGAAACACGGCTTCCTGTGAGTGGGAGGGCAGGGGGCATCGTCATCTGTCAGTGTTTCCTGGATCCCACCCTTCTCTGCCTCCACCCCTGGGAACACGGAGTCCCCGTGTGGTCTAGGCTCTCTCACCAGGGCTTTCTAC